TTCACATATGCTAAACCAACATCACAATGTATAATTTGGTTTAGTGCAATGTGCAAGCCAGTTAAAATCCTAAACTTTTATTTAAAAAAAACAGTTATCTATTTCATATGGTTCTCACTGGTGACAAATCTTGATGATGTATATTTGTTCATTTTATTAAGAGGCAAAAAAGCTCTATGACAAACCTAGCTCACTCTATGCTTCTGAAGAAAGATCATGCTCTCCCCTCCCTGGTAACTCAGCCTTGTATTAAGCAGGCATGACTACATAACTCCAAGAATTCATTAATTAATTTGAATTTCACTCTTGAAGTTACCAAACCTCCCTAACAACTTATTTGCTTTGTGAAACCTTTTGTGTGCAAGCAGCTGACAAAAGGTCAAAACCTTGGCATACTGCAAAATCTGTGTTGGATATATGACCTTGTGTGCATTTGGGAGATAAAAGGACCAATCTTTTGCCAAAGGTATCGAAAGATAAGCATTCTGACTTATCTGAGAATCATCGATAGTCAAGGTTCATAGTAGCTCTATCATTGAAACAGGCCCATACTGATCTTTAAAAATAATTGCTTAACTGGTTGCATCAGTTGCACTTTCTTTTTAAGTCTATATCGATTGTTTGATTAATTTAGATAGACAGATAGATGTACACACACATACGTACACCAGGCCAGCCACTTAATTGACCTCCTGTCCATCCCAAATGATGTACCTACTTATTCCTTCTTTGCTCCCTCCAATCTTTCCTTCCTTGTGTGGTCAGCTCTGTTAACCACAATTTCCCTACAGTACCTTAAAGGCATGAAAAGATACCGATAGTCCTTGTTTAGCAACCACAATTGGGGCCAGCAACTCAGCTGTTAAGTGAAGCAGTCACTAAATGAAACCATGACTGTGCTTACAATCTTACTTCAGCTTTCCTTTGCTTTACAGACTGTGAAGATTGTAAATGCGAGGATTGGTCGCAAAGTTACCTTTTCATCACCGTCCTGTGAATGGTCACTAAACCAGGCAGTTGCTAAACAAGGGCTACCCATAAATGCAACCAAACTTAAGCAGTTGTATACCCATCTCCTTCAACTAGTTTATGTTAACTTGGATAACAGTACTTTCTTGAGTTATCATCTGATAAACAGTGTTTATTTTTTTGAAGAAACATATGTTCTGTTCATTAACAAAGATAGAATAGGATTCAATGTAAAACAAGAAGAACATAATATAACCACTTGTTGTTAACCTCTCATTAACAATCACTCATTCAGTGACCATTTGAAGTTGCGACGGAACTGAACAAGTGATACTCACAACTGGTCCTTGAAGTTCCAGCCATCGCAGTGCCCCCATAGTTATGAACACAATTTGGGCGCTTGGCAATTGGCTTGCACTTACAATGGTTGCAGCATCCCACAATCACGTGATCGCCATTTGCAGCCTTCCCACAAGCAAAATCAATGGGAAGGCCAGCAGGGACGATTGCAAGTCGCTCCCGCTTTTTCTCCTGAGGAGCCCATTACCGAGTATGAGATCCAAGGGACCCCCTCCCTACCCCACGTGCACTTGTGCAGCAGCACAGCAACCCTGCATGCAGTTGCTGCAGCAACCCCCTGCCTCCCTTCATAGTATTCACCTGCTCTCCAACCTGCTTGCGAGCTGCCCAGGACTTGCAACTTCCAGCCAGCTTCCCCACTGACTTTGTAGGAAGCTGGCAGGAAGTCACAAGCTGCAGTCATGTGAGGCCCTTGCTTAATGACCTGTGATTTTTGCTTAATGATGGCAACAGGGACTGCCAGGATTGCCACTGCTAAGTGATGTGGTCATATGATGTCACGCTTTATGACCGTATCACTTAGCGATGGAAATTTTGGCCCCAATTACCATTGTTAACTGAGGACTACTTGTATTTGAAAAACCCAGCTGATTCACTGTCTTTATTACAAACCTTGCAAATATCTGTCTGTGCAGTTTAACTTCTCCCGAATTTATTATAAGAATACAAGTTTTCCAAAGACGAATTCCAGGAACCATAAAATATTCTATAAAATTATTGCTCAAATCATGGATTGTGGGACTTTTTTCTTAATAGGTATGTTTAAGAGAGCTGTTTTACTATGCAAACTGATGGCTGTGCTTTATCCATTTTTACAACTCTAATAAAAAAATAGCTGTTGTTAGAATAAGTGAAATATACTGAAAGGCACAGCAGATATAACTCAAAGAAAAAAAATATAACTTGATATAATTTAATCTTATCTTTCCCTGAAGTATAACAAATTCTACTATATTCTCATTTCAAATTAGCTGGCAACAGAAAATAAAAATGCAGTTATGACAAAAAGAAGAAGAAGAAGAAGAAAAGAGAAAAAATTCACATCCTGACAAAAGCCAGAAATCTTGTCTATGAGATTTGTGGGAATTTATAAAAC